TGGCCCTCTCTTTCCTTCCAGGCTCACCTTATGTGCTGTCTCTTATACACATCTAGATGTGTATAAGAGACAGGTCTTATTACCATGTGATCTTATCATATGATCTTATGATGTGATGTTTTGTACATTAAATGATGTTTTACAGTTTTACGCTTTTAGCGAAGCTGATGTTTCAGTTGTGTTTTAGCAGAGCCAGGTCTCTCAAAATCTGTGTGTTTAGTGGTGCGAGGAGAGAATGCTTACACACCCATTTGATTTTCAGTAATAAGTATACTTGCACCTTGTGTGTGAGTGCATGTGTTTGAGAATCTGATATCGCTGGACCTCTATACTCGAAGTGCGGTATGCTGTCGCCAGTTGAGCGGCAGTACACAAGAGCATGGGAAGTTGGGAACATATCAACAGTCAGTGCTTTAAAAAATGGCGTGTGTGTAATAGCATCCTTACAAACCCAGCTGAAAAACAGAGCTTCATAGCAACCTACCTAACGAGTCTTCTTCAATACCAACTGAAGGCCTAGCTCAGTCAGTACACCCCTGAACTGCTGAAATACGGACCCGAGTTCGAACTCCACTGAAAGCAGATGAGTAAAACAGTAAAATACTGCAAATTTGAATCACCTAGGGCCAGTCGGTTCAAATGACAATATCTAAAAGACCGTTGCCGTTTTTCAACAACAACAACAAAAAAGAGGTCTCCAAACAGTGGCTGATTGCCTATGCTCAACCTGTGGCTCTACGAAGCGAGGAAACTCTCAGATCCTCACTTGCACCAAAAAAAAAAAAAAAAAAAAAAAACATCTCCTCGGTGAGCAAGGACAGCATCCCAGAAGGCATGATAAATTGCTTGCTAACATGTGCGGAAGCAGTTATGGGTCTGGGGCAGGATAAAGAACACATGTTCACCCCTCTTCGCCCCCAATAGCATGAGCATTGCAGTCCAGCCAGAGCATTTGCACAGTAGTCTAACCTTGTACAATTATCGGGGCCCTCCGATATGCCGTGTCCACTTGCCATGTGTTTTGAAACGGTCACCATAGGACTACCTCAAGGCTCATGTTTTGGAATCCAGCGGCTGCGATTGCCGGTTGCTTACTACTGTCCGACGTCAACGGTTGGATTTCCTTAGAAAGACGTAGAACCAGACCTCACGGGTGCGCTACATTCATCTTACGAAGGCACGAAGCTTGACACGATTCAGACCGGGTTCATGCTTCTGTAAGCACCAACATAGCACCAGTAGGGGCCCTTAGGCATAGTCCAGCGACCGCATCACTGGTGTGCACATGCGCAAACAAAGCACCAGGGTGGCACGTCTGTTAGCACGAATCGGGTCACAGAAACCACTTCGTGTACTAAGCAAGCTCAGCATGAATCTATCACTTATCACTGATCAGATGCTGCCCTTCGCACGAATCTGGTGAAGGTTCATGCCAACTGACTGATGACTTAGCACAACACAGCACCAGGAAGGCGTCACCGTGCCTGTCAGCGCAAATCTTTCTTTTTTTTTTTCTTTTTTTTTTTTTTTTGATTCCATGTGGTTAAAACTTTATGCTAACTGCAAACGAAGATACCACAAGGAGATTAGATAGGTTCCTGCCAACTTATTGCCAATGTAATGTGGCCATGGAATTGCCACTGGTGATGATATACCAACTTACTGTAAACATATCATTGCTACAGAAGCCCAATTTTGGGGTTTTATAACTTGTATTTCAATAATAATTCAATTACTTCTACTCCTTGGTAATCAAACCCTAGCGGTCTATGCACTTACCACTGCCTGACACCTTTTTTTTTTTTTTTTTTTTTTTTTTTTTTTTGAAACAAATGCTCCAGTCTATTCATGGGGAGCAGCACGTGCTGGGAACCAGTGCCTGCCACCTAGCAATGGGCTGGGCACAAGCTAGCTAAGCACAAGAGCGTTGCGCCAGCAAGACCTGCTGGGCCTTATCCTGAATCTGGGCCTGAGAAGGACTAGGTTCAGGGCAAGTCATGCCTGCGAATGGCCATACAGTTCCCTCTTTGGGGTCTACCCCCCCCTCACAACTGTCCCTGCGTCTCTGTCCTGACCAGACACCACTGGTGCAATGTGCAATGTGTGTACTTTTTTTTCTGTGGGGTCTACACCACTGGTGCAATGTGCAATGTATGTACTTTTTTTCTTTGGGGTCTACACCACTGGTGCAATGTGCAATGTATGTACTTACTACTTCCTTCTTTGGGGTCTACCCGGCCCGTACAGCTGTCCCTCCATCTACTATGCCCTGACTGCTGAGCTTAAACAGGTGGCCGGACACCGGTGGTGGGTGCAATGTACATACTACGGATGGAACGTAATCTACTATGCCCTGATTGCTGAGCTTAAACAGGTGGCCGGACACCGGTGGTGGGTGCAATGTACATACTACGGATGGAACATCTTTTTGTCTAAGCGGCCAGGATCATGCAATGAAACCATGAACCCAGTCATCTTTGCGGCCAGGCACGAACTCGCTTAGAATAAACATAGATAGCAGCAGTGTCGTTTGCCCCTGGCTCTGTTCCGCATGCGAATGTGTGTACCCCTCATCCGTGCCTCTACCCACATCCTAAATTCCATGAACATATACAAAATTGCAAATACATATAGATATTATAGATCAGTTGGTACACACCCATGAACTGTTGAAATACAGACCGGAGTTCGAATCCCAATGAACTCAGATGAGTAAAGAAGTACGGATTTACACAGGGATGGATGATATCTCAAGGCCATCACCCTTTAAAAGGAAAAAGAAAGAAAAAGAAAGAAAAACTCTGAAAAAGAAAGAAAAAGAAAACGTAAATAAAAAATGATATCTGGTTTGCCAGGAATTCTTTTGACAATATCTATTGTCCCATAACTATGAACTAAAAGAGCACACTTTGTGAAACAAACAGTAAAGATTAAAAAACAAGACAAAGATGAGGGGCACACTGAAACCATTCATTCTTCTTTTAACTAATCCTTCACCGTGCCTCTCAAGTACAAGGCTCGCCACGTCGATGAAGTTGAGCGCGAGCTGCCTGCATATCCCCGTGTGCC